GAAATGCTTCACATGAAGCTTCTCTAACATTTACTAGAACAGCAGCAGAGCTCTTTTCTCAAGCAAACACAAAGTTAACTCTGTTGCCACAAATTGCTTTGGGAACGTGCATCTTAGATCTGAATGTAATTTTCTGTCTTACTCCTCCCTCCAATAATTAAATAGGAAGTTTATACAGCATTTCACCTTCCATCTCCAAGGATGACGTTCATCAGAAATCAGAGAGCTCGATTCTTTCAAACTAGTACTACAGACCTTAAAAGAAGAAAGAGAGAGAAGCAGGAAGATGGGATGGTCAGAGAATAGAAGCAGGATGTGCCAAGGCAAAAATCCTTTAGACAGGGACTAGGGAAAAGCACTATAGCGAAGTCACCTCTGAACAAAAGCAGTTTGTTTTTTACAGTCAATAAAATAGATGATCTTATGTCTTACATTGTACATGTGCATCACTTACAGAGAAGTCAGGGTACACAGCATTTGATTCTAAAATAAATGCTATTCAGTTACATATTGTTCCTTTTATATACCCTTTTTAACAACTCGCAAGTTTTCAGTGTGATAATGAACGCAATAATGTCTCTTTCATTTACTTTCTCATCTATATAGTCTAACAGATATGGAATCTTTAGAAAAGCAACGGTAAGAGGAACATTAGCAGAATGTATATTGAAGAGTACACAGCATAGTAGCATAATACTATATTTCTTTTAAGCAGCATTTACTAAGCTGTTTAATCAGTTAAGAGGATTATTAATTTCCTATGTAAAAAAAAAACTGTCAAAATGTGCTTATTTGAAATTGTTGAGCATTTACATTGTGCAGACTTTTGCTCACCTGATTAATAGGTAGAAAAGGATGAAATTTATGGAGAGCAGGTATAACGGGAGAGTAAGTAGAAGCATATACAGGTTCCTATGACAAGGACAGAAGGAAAGCAAAGGAATTAGAAAAGAACTGGGCTATGAGAAATGGAGATTGGGGGGAAATAACTCATCTTCCCCTAATTTCTTAAAATGAAGTACATCTGAATCTTTTAATCTTCTAGAAATATTTTCCCTATTGGAAAGCCAGAGATCAAAAATGTTGTCATAATTCAACAGCATGTTTACCAAAGCCATTCCATGCAGGAATTAAACAAGTTAGGAACAATATCACTACAACTCAACACAGAATGAAACAGCACAACCAGAAGATACACTTTTCATATGCTGATAATTTTTATGTCTCTGTTTTCATGCACCATTAAATTGATGAACCATGTCAACCACAATGTGAATAATTCTGCTGCAAGTTTAATCAGACCCTACTAAATAACAAGCCATCTATTTTCTGGATGAAAGGAAAGAATGCTTGCTAAAACCCGGATACGCAAAAGCCATCTGGAGGGAATTGCTAAGCCCAGAGCACTCAGCAAAGGTGAGCTCACCATTCTAAACAAAGCCTACAAATAACCCCTGCCTCAGAGCTTGGCTTACCCAAAGCTGATTAGACACGGCTTTATCATCTATAATTCTTCTTCCTTTCTATAGGTTAAAGCAAATGTGGAACATCGCACAGAATATGGGTAAATGCAGCTCATTAGACTGGCTCAAAACAAAGCCTAATCATTACAGTTTCAGCTTTGATTAGAACTGGATACAAGCACTTGGTGGATGCCATACATGAAGTGGCTAAAACTATTACCACAGCAAGAGACTAATATTTTGCCTAAAGATCACTTTTTAAGGGCTTACCCCCTTTAAGATTTTTACACACTTCATCTCTGAATAATTTTGAATTGACTGTTCAGCCCTAGCCTTTAACACCAGTGCTGAGCTGCAATTTGAAGTTGCTGTAAGAATTAAGTGCATTTCAAATGTCATTCACTGCTTTAATGCGACGGCAATGCAGCTGATAATCACATTAATCAGGGACTCTGTTAAAAATGACTGACTACAAAATAGAAATTTTCATTCCAGTAAATCTTGCTATTTTGATACTAAGGAAAGATTTTAAAGTTAGTTACTTTTTCTACCCATGAAAAAACCCAACAAACTGGAAGTCTTCCATCCATTCATCCTAAGATGACAAATATACTAAATTCAAAATATTTTTCCCAAATAAAAGGGATTTTTTTTTTCAGTAAGAAATTTCTCAGTGTACAGTTGTTCCCCTGATGTTAGAGCTATTCTTTGAGTTGTCCAAGTATGTTTTACCGTACTTATAAATAATTTAAGAAGTCTCACAGCTTCCAACAAATTTTCCTCTTATGTGCAGCAATCATCAAAACAGATGCTGGACCTCCAAGTAAATCTCAGCTTCCCCCCTCATCTGTATCTCCTTGAGTTAATTCCTTAGTCCCTTTTTTCCCCATTTGAGGCTGCTCTGTCAGCTTTTCCATGAATTTTATGGTTTTTCTACAGTTTAGCCTACATATAAATGACTATAACACATTTGGAGAAATATCTCACCATGAAGACAACTGTGCAGAAGCATTTTGACTAGAAGTGATCGGATAGCACTATTTAATGTAACTATTTTATTAAGAGTATCTTTCAACTGTTGTTGTTTATAAGAAACCTAAATGTACCCTAATAACTTCTATTTTATACACCCTTGCTTCAATAATCAAATCTCCAGAACAAGTCAGATAACCTTTTAAGAGAGATACTCACACGCAAAAGAAAACCTAAAAAGGTGTCTGCCTACATTAACAGGAGTTAATAATAATAATAAAAGTTAATAAAAATAATTCAGGCATTATTTTGAACCAGCAGGGCATGACAGAAGTTTACACACCCTTGCTGTTGATGCATGACTGCCATGTGTGGAAATTGTATTTTAACTAGCTCAAAACACAGTAATCAATACAATTCCTGTATTATCGCAATCCAGCAACAGAAAGCACTAAGATTCTTAAGTAGATCGTAGTCTCAAAGCTCTTCTACAAATGAAGACTTCAGTGGCACACTGCTTCATGGTCCTCAAAGGATAATAGCCATCACATTGATTAATTATCAATAATAGTATTTCCAGATTTAAGGGCAGCTGACATGGTGTGCTGTAAACAGCGTGGTCAACTTAGTGAAGCTTTACATTATTTATCATGTATCACATAATGAATCAGCATCACAAATATCAATACGGTTCAGGAAGTTGTGTATCTAATAAGACTAACAATTTTTCTTATACACCCAAGATTTCACCCATTGGCAGACATGCAAATCCTTTTATTTAGGCTCTAAATAGCCCAGAGCTAATATGAATCAACAGGGTGGGTGACCCAGTGTCACAGAAACTCCCACTGCCAGCATTGTCACTTCAAAGCTTGTACCCTTCAAGCACTTTATGCTCCCTTACTTGCTTTAAAAGCCTAACTTGTGCTATGCTGAGTGAAGTTGCTGCACATGGTAACACAGCAGGGAGGATATGGGTGCTGAGGAGTGAGAAGAGAGAACAAAGGTTTTGCCTCTGCCTAAATCTTGGCAGCTGCTTAAAGCTTTTTCTCAACCCCATTGTCTTTAGCTGGAGTACATTTGTTATCTGATCTCAACAGTTGTCATTTTGGAGACTAGCCTGTTAAAAATGTGACCGCAATTTTGCTTTCCTCATTGAAACCATTTTTGTTTTAGGACATCTTTCAAACTAGCAACTGGATTTTTGAGCAAGTCCACAGGGCAAAACCAAAACAAAACCCATAAAACAAACTGCAAAAATCAGCTTTCTTGTTTTTCTGTCCAGTTAACACACAACCACTGATGAGTCAGTCACATGTTCAGGCACAGATTTATCCTCAGTAATGACAGACTGTGTAACAACTCCTTACTGTAATATACTGATGGAACAGGAGACTTTTTGTTATTCTTTGCCCATACTAGTTAATAGAAGCAGCATTTTCACAACTAAATAATTGGATGCAAAGATTACTGTCGCCACTTGTAAAATTTATAACACAAATTTTATCTTCACTTGTCCTCTGTGAAAATACTCCTTCAAAAATTAAAGGCTTTTGAAGCAGCCTATTTTATCTGACACTGTCATTTTCAAAATACTACACTCAGAAGGGACGCAAGTCTGCATTAGTCGTGCAGTTCGAACCAGCAGTCCATTTTGAAGCACATGTCCCAGTTATCCTCACTTTCTGTGCTTTGGTTCACATTGCAGAACACACAGACTTTTGGATCAAACTAAGCCCTGAAGCACACTCCTGGATTCCCATGTAACACCACAGATGCCAATGGCAGTTAGGCCACAGGAGCAGACTATATTTAGCCTGAAGCAAAACAAGTAAGTATGGCATGGATAGCAGGTCCTCATCAGTAATCGTTCTGCTTTACACATCCACTCCTTCTGGGCAACATAACGTACTCATGTGTAGACATGGCCGGAACGTGCTAACAACGTGGACTTCCCTTTCCTCTACACCTTTCTACCCATCTCCCACTCTATTGACTAACACAGACAAGAGAGATAAAATCCTTGTCCAGATGGGTTTGGCTATCCACAAACACCAAAGATCATGCAAGATAACCAAAAGCCACATGGCTTATGAATGCTCTGGTACCTGCTTTTCCTCAGTGTTTCTAAGATCCAAAATCACTGCTCAAAAAAAAGTATATGCACAGAGACAACACAGCTTTAGGAATATGAATTTTTTAGAAGCTCACCCATACTAAAGAAAACCCCCAAACTTAAAAGTCTTAAGCCAATTTCATTGTGAGGAAAAAAAGGCTTAAATCATTATACCTGTAAACATTCCAGAAGCCTTACAGGCCCGCTTACTGGTTCATAATCTGCTGATGTAAAGACATTGTAACCAATATTATATGTCCCAAGGCAGCGAAGACATTCTCGTTTAAAGAGCTCTCATGTTGGGAGAACTGTTTTTTAAACAAGCCTGACAACAAGCGGAATAGCAGGAGCTAGTAGCTAATATTAGGCATGCCTGTCTAGTTGGATGCATCTTCAAAAAGCTGAAGCATTTCAAGCAAAATGTTTTTTCCAAACAAGGATAGAGTTACCTTCTTCAACAGCTGCTCAACTTCTTGCATCTGCGCACTACGATCAGTGACAGACACTTTTGCGTACTCCTGCTTTTTGCCTAGCCTGCTCTTCCAATCTTCTTCACCACTCTTCTTCAGCAATGCCAACCTAGAAGAAAAAAACATGCCAACAGGCAGCTTTAAACACTGTACTTCCCATTTTCCTCAAAAGCTACCCTTACTGTTTCACTAATGCTGCATTCAAGAGAATCTGAAATTAAGTTTTCTAACATTAACTATAGTTATTTACATTTCATACATATATACAAAGCTCACAAAAGAACACCAAGCTTTTACTGAACATGTTGAATGGGAATCATCTGTCAAAACACAGACATCTTGATCTGAGACAGGCACCCCAGCTAATTTGTACAGGCAGTGGAAATTGCCAATACAGTCAAGGGAGACCAAGGTACAACACAGATCATCCTAAAGTGGATGTATTAATAGGTTACGTTAATCACTGCTTTTTTCCCTCCCTTCTGTTGAGAAGGCATGAGAGTGACTAGCTCAGCTATAGATGCTTATGCTGTAGATGTCCAAAGTCATTAAGATGAATCCTACCTTTGGTCTTTATGTACTCATTAAAAAAATATTTAATTTTTTTTTTTTTCTTTAAAACCCAAGAAGAAAGGGGTCTATTCAGCAGGCACTCACCAATTAGGTCTTGTCAGGCACATCAAATGACAACTATGCAGTTACTTCTTTCACTACAACTCCAGTGACCGAGGTTACTATCAGGCTCCTTTTTTTCCCTCCCTTCTGTTGAGAAGGCATGAGAGTGACTAGCTCAGCTATAGATGCTTATGCTGTAGATGTCCAAAGTCATTAAGATGAATCCTACCTTTGGTCTTTATGTACTCATTAAAAAAATATTTAATTTTTTTTTTCTTTAAAACCCAAGAAGAAAGGGGTCTATTCAGCAGGCACTCACCAATTAGGTCTTGTCAGGCACATCAAATGACAACTATGCAGTTACTTCTTTCACTACAACTCCAGTGACCGAGGTTACTATCAGGCTCCTAGGGATCACTTAGTATCTCCTTGCTGAGCTCAGGCTTTGCTGTGACACAAATCAGCAGTACCAATGCACTAGTAACTTGGCGCTAACCATAACACAGCTATGACATCTATCTGCAAGATTCAACTCCTTTAAAGGATGCCTTAAATATAAGATGTGGATTACCATTAATCTCGGGTAAGTAGGATCTTTTAAAAGTGCTATTTCCTAATCTTGAGCAAAATTCTGAATATAGCACAAAGGGACACTGACTGGCTCTGGTGGGGACAGCATGTACGCTTATTTTGCTAGAATTAGAACCTATTTGTCCATACAAACCCTGAGGTGCTTAAGTTTTGGGGGTAGGGGAAGTCAGTTAGGAATACAAGGTCTACACAGGCATGATCTTCAGCTTACCTCCCTCAGAAATTAATATTTATATGAATTTTCTAGCTTTCCAAAATCATTCTTAGTAATCCATAAAATGTATATCTGTAGTACTTGTGCAAACAGTTGCATTGGTCCATTAAACAATTTTTATTTTAGTTGAATTAAGTTTTACTACATAACTTTCTTCAGTCTAGGGCATTTCAGTAAGGATTATACAAAACCCTTAACCCTATTAATATTTGAACAGGTTCAGTAGTTAAAGTGTTAGCAACCTATTTTGACCACAAGATATGGAGACTCCTTTTTATAGATGCAATTACTGTTACCCTCACATAAGTCTTGTCCTGAAACTCTGAGGAGAAGGAAGGACCGAATAGGTCTAGCCAGAAGCAAAGTTTCAGGCAGCTGCTTCCTGCAAAAATCCAGGGGGTGCAACCATCCTACTGACCTATTCAAGGATGACCAATTGGTCCCAAGGCAGTCATCTGAGAAAAACTGAGAATGCAGAAACAGTAAATCCACAGAATACAATGGCAGTAAGAATGTTAGTATTCAAGAAAGCAGTTATTTCCTCTCTTCCTGCCCAGGCAGGCAGTGCTGGCAGGGTTGCTGGTTGCTTCACACCTCACAGCACGGGATGAGTAGGTGTGAGAAGGACTCACAATAAGGAGTTGAGGCCACGGTCATTGTTTCCAAAATGTATACAAGATTTCACTGCCCAGAACTAATCTTCTGGAGTGCATCCACGCACATGTGAAACTGTGGAGGAGACCACGATGGGACTGAATTGCCACCATGCAGTTGTATCATCTTCAGTAGTTATGTTCTCTCAGGTCAGCTTTGCTTAGAAATGATCTGCGATAATTGAAGCTGGAAGGCATTTTGGCCAGCTTTGGCCTAAGATGGGTTTATTTTTAAAAATGTCTATAGCTGCTCAGCATAGCAGGCAGAAACAAATTTTTTTTGTTTTTTGTTTTTTTTTAACCTGACGTTACTGCAGGGTTTTTGCCCTAGACCTTTGTCCCAAACAGCTTGACTGATCAGGAAGAGAAAAATCTATGCTTCTAAGAATGCTTCTGTATCTCTGAAGACTTTGTTTTCTCCTTTGTCATATGGATGGATTCATACTAGCCCTCCACTCTTCACTTGTAATATGTAACAAAACAACTCGTTCCTAGAGTGAGAACACACGTTTGTCTGTTCTGAACAATGAAATCACCACTTAAAGAAATATGTATGCCGAGTACGCCATTGAAAACTTCACTGCTGTGTAAAACCTAAAGCCATGTGTTTGTTTCGAACGATGGAAGCAGCAATAAACTCAGACTGCCCTGACCCATCAACAATTGGAGGGCACCTTTTTGTATGAATAAAGATGCAAGAACTACTGAGTTGGTTTGCACAAGCAAGCCCACCAGCTCAGTAGCTTAAATCAAAGTAGACAGCAGTTGATTCTTTGGAAAGTCTGCAAAAATAAGCAATCATTGGGTCTAACCCTTGGATTTGTTTAAGGCCTGCTGCCTACTAGTTTCATTGCATGCCTCTAGTTTTCCACTTTTGATAAATAATGAATACTCGTTCATCATTCACTTTCACAGTTCTATTCATGCTGCTTTTGCCTCCAAAGGCTCCTTTTCCGATCTGAAAAAAAAAAATCAGTTTTACTCTTTTCTTGAAAGAAAAAAGCTTTTTATGTATCTGCCGATCTTTGACAGCTTGCTCTGTATCCTTCTTTCACTGGCTACTGAGATAGAATATCTGCCATCAAGATAGAATGATCGTCATCCCAGAGGCGTCAGGATAGGTTCAAAGCAAAAGCTTTCACAGCTGAAGGCAAAATGTTGGATTAATACTGAAGGAAAATAGAAACAAGATTTGAACAATGGTTTTGCCTAAACAAGGAGCATTGTATGAAAGGCCTTGCCAAAAATCCTGGCAAAAAATGTCAAAAATGACACATCTTTCTTCTGTGGCAGTATTTTAGTATCTTAGCTACTAGTGTTATCCTTGAGACAGATTAAACTGGACACAGGCTTGGCTTTCACACATACCCCATTGGCTGCACTTGACCAGTTCTTTTCAGCTAAATCATAAATTCTGGAGGCAATGTGAGATAAGTAACTACAAAAAGAAAGCCGACTGTTAAAGAGTGCATAAATTCACTGCAGTGGGGACTAGTCTGCATAAGAAAGTCTTGCTCTGGTGTCCACATGTCAAAACAGGTTGAAAATTAAGTTTAGGCTGAGCTCTTCCTGAGAAGGAAGGAATGATAGTAAGAGGTCCACCAGAAATTATTTAGCTGTAGTTTTTTTAAATAGTGATCGTGGCATGCAGCTGACTTCTAAAGCGGAGCTGATAGGGTAGCCTTCTAGCAACTTTGGTCTCCATAAATGCACAAAGATAGGTAGTTACACACAACTGATGCTCCTGACAATTCGAAGTCCTCCAAGACATTCCTCTTCCTGAAGGCAAGACAATTAAAAAGAGGTTTCCACCACTCATATATAGCACATCAGTGCATTGGCCCTGGCTGCCTAAAACAAAACACAGACAAAACTACTCAAAGATATGAGCCTTTGCTCCCTCTCACCTCCAAGCTGCATGTTTGCAGAAGAAGAGAGGATAGGTGTCTTTTCTTCCTTGAAAAATCACGATTTTCATTTTTCTTCCATATAGTATAGGTAATTCTGAAAATGCCAGGTAGGCACGCACTCCACAAGGATAATATTAGTTCAGTAAAGTAAGTCTTTGTGGAAAATCACTTTCATCCAGACCAGCATGCATGCATCCTGCCCAAATATCATTAAATCTGTGGAAAAGCTGTTCTTCCATAAGGTGAAAGAATGTCTGACACAGCCAGAAAAATCCACTGGATGGGAAGATGAAGTTAGTGAAAGTAAAAGGAAAAAAAAAAAATCCAAAGTGTAATAGTTAATATTCAGTAGAAACGTTCTTCGAGGTTTCTGAAAACTTGGCATCTGCTATAGCCAAGCAAAAGAAAATGACTGATTGTAGTTTTTTAATTCTGGGCCAAGAAGTAGACTACTGTGGTATTTTGGAAGGCTAAAACATTTTGATACCAGCTCTGCCATTTACAGACATTTGTGGAATCAGAATATAAAAATTCCTGACGAGACAGCAGGTATTTTCTTTTGTCAGCTTTGGGACTGACTAGACGGTACTGAAGGCCTAATGAAAGCAATTGCAGATTGCGAGCGTGACTGACAGTCTTTAACATCAGTTCCTCAAGAGATCAACTCAACTGAAGCATTAAATTTAGGACTGAAACAGCTGCTAATACTTGGATCTTCCCTTCCCTCCAACCTCTTTTTCCCCACCAGGATCAGCGAAGGCAGATCATTTACCACCTATAAACCAGAAGTTACTGGTCTTAGACCTTATCTGGCCAGACAGTTGACATATTTACAGAAGGGGGACAGGAGGGATGACGGTTGCTTTAAACAAAACAACAACAGTAAACTGAAAAAGTTAAGTACATCCTTCAGAAGGGGGCCTAAGACTGCACAGCTGTTGTAGCTGCCCCTGCGCCCCCTCTTTATGTTAAGGGGTTAACAGGGAGTGGGGATGCTCTATAAACGAGGATGACTCACACACGTCCTAGAAATACATGAATTTAAGAAGTAAGCTTTGGAATCGTGTTTTTAAAAAAAAAAAAAAAAAAAGGTTTGGAGTTCCTAATATCACACACATCTCACAAAGTGCGACAATACTTTTACACAGTGAAAGTTTAATCAAGCAGGTATTTTTATTTATTGGTTCTGCTTTCACTGCAGAAAACTGAAATAAAAATACCCTATTTGTCAACCCAGAGCAAATAATCATAATTTTACTCCCTGGACTGCTACCAGATCCTTTTACAGTTTGGGGCTGAGTTTATACTCTCAAAGTTTTAACTAAATTAGAATGACTTCTACAAGTACTACAGCAGCTATTGGAGCTCTAGCTGTGAACTCCTACTGTTTGCAGAAGCGCAAAATACTTAACATTTGTTTCAGATGAGAATGACCTTGGGTTGGAAAAAATATTTCTCATACTCCCACAAACCTGTCCAACTTACTACCCTTTTAAAATCACCACAGTAAGTTCTCAGAAGTCAAAATGGCAACCGTGTATTTCTGAAGTAAAGAAGGAAACATCACAGAGTTTATCCCTGACTCCCTGTAGTCAGCTTATTTAAAAGAGACTACTCCAATAAACCAACAAAAAAACTAGCTATTAAAAAAAAAAAAAATCCCATTATACATGTTGTAATTGAAAGCAGAACCTGGGGAAGTATATTGAGTATATCATTATAAATGTAACTAGAACGTGTATTTTTACAACTTTCATTTTCTGAACTACTTATTGATTATTCAGGTGGCTCTTTCAAAATCAGATTATCACGTTCTCTTCAACAGTAATTCTCATTCACCACCATCTGCCTTATAAGCATGTCAGGCAGATTAGCTGCATGTTTCTGCTGTTAGTGTTTGACATCCAATAAAGCCTAATAATTACTGCTTAGCTTTTTTCAGAAGCAGGTTTATAGCTTTTTTTATACCATCAGTCTAATAACTGTATTTATATAGATAATTTTTTAAAAAGGGAAATTTAAGTACCTTTCCTTAATTGACATCGTTTTGCTGGAATTATCAAGGACATCCTCAGTTTGTGCTTTGTTCTCTCCAACGGAAAACATCTCACAGGAATTCTTATTAAATTTGCCTTCCAATTGGTCAGAGAGCTCCTGGAGTCTACAGGATGCCGCAGCTGCAGTTTGCGAAACTGTCCTCATTCCTGATATGCTGGTGAGTTCAGAAGTAGGTTCAGCATGGTCTGCCCATTCAAAAGAGGAGTGCTGAATTAGAGTTAGCGCTATTCTCAAACATATTTTACACATTACTAACACTGAAGCAGCAAATCTGTTTTTTAACATTCAAATCACATGGTATCCTAACAGAGAAAAAATTTCCGGCTGAGCTAGAGTACAAAGATTAATTGTGCAATATTAGCTGCATAGACTGGCCCTCTGTGACTGAAGTTCTCATAAAGCCACAGAAGATCATGTTCAATACACAATTCTGAACTTCACATGGATGAGGCACAAACTGCTGCTCCTGTCATCACACCAACAGGAAAACAAATGGACAGATGAAAGCAAGAGAGGAGCAAAGAGTAGGGGAATAGAAGCAGACAAAATTTAAATAAGAAATTAACTTATTGGTAAAGCAGTTTAATGCATAAGTAGCATACTAGGAGGACAGTTAATAGCTTCATAAAGGTATTATTTTCTAGGAGGGTGCTGGGGGCTTCTTTGGTTTTGTTTTTTCAAGCAGCAGTTAAACCACAGGACAAACTGCCTTGATGAAAGATAAATGCACCATTGCAGTTATCCTTAAGGAAATAAGTGATCTTCATTTTTCTTTTTGAAATTTTACAAGCATAACACCCCTCTGATACACAACTGATCCAGGTTTATCCCAGTCCCCTTCTCCCCTGCAGTCACCAAAAGTAATTGGATAAAACAGACACTGCTTTTGAGGAATACAGGCAGAACTATACCTTCCTCCCTACACCTGTTCGAAGACCATTAAATTCAAAATGAATTAACTTCACAGGATGAAGACAAAAGTGCTTCTAGCACTACAGGGTACTGTGGTCCTGTACTCCATCATAATAAAACAGAAAACTAATACAACAGCCTTCTAAATTCAACAGAATAGAAGGCTTTATGCAACAACCAAACTGGCTGATGATTTCCAAAGCACTTTAAAGATGGGTGAATTTACTTATTAAGTTTGAATTATATTTTGCATCTAGAAATGTAATTGCTCTGAGAATTACTTGGTTTATATTTTGTCACGACACTGAAGACAAACTAATAGTAGTTTTGCAAAATTAGTTATCTGAAAATTATCCACTACTAGCTATATATGTACATATGTAGTTAATACATAACTATATATGCACAAGGCGGCAACAATTAAGAACAGACACTTGACCCAGAGCAGCAAGTTTAGCTTGTTCAGCATTTTGGAGGGCAGGGACAAGGGCAAAAGAGGAAAGGATAAATCTTAGCTGCAGCATATAATACCACTGCTTTCAAAGAACGAAAATCTGAAAAAAAATTGAACCATCTTTAAAGGCTGAAGAATTGAAAGAATAACAAAGAGAAAACTGGATTTGTAAAACAAGATCTCACAGGTATTTCTCTACCTTTAAGCAGTGTTAAAAAAAAGGAAAAATAACCAGCCTTGTAATGCTTGAAATGAAGATGTTTAAAATCAGAGAAACAGCATCATTTGCTGAACGAGACTACACCAAAAGCAAGTATATACTACACCTCTTTGCAAAGTCTTGCTTTTCATAACACTTTCCAAATCCATCTTTTCTTCAAAGGACTGGCCTTCTTTGACTTCCCATTTACCTTGCATGCGAGTATCAATTTCCTTCTGTTCAAGAGGCTGAAAAAGTGCTTGTGAGCTAAACAGTTCCATGCTGCCCTTCCTCAGGAAGCTGTAGGCTGTCTCTTTATGGTAGTCTCCTGTTTTTTCAGGAACGGGATGTGTGGTTTCATCCTCAAAGGAGCTGTACTTTGTAATTTCATTAGCTTCATGTGCTAGAAACCTCTTTCTCTCTTCTTCATGCTTCTTTGATGCTCTGTTGCTTTCTGGTGCTTCCACTGAGGGCTGCCACTGTTCTGACTTCTGTGTGCGTTTTCCTGAAGAGTCCAAGTTTTCTGCTGAAGAGTGGAATCTCAAATCAGCTCTAGCAGCAGCGCTCACACTTCCATCGCTAGCTGGCTTCATGTGCAGGTCTCCAGCATACAGCGGAGAAAGGGCAGATGCCATTGTTGAAACTGATGTTGCAACTGCAGTTGACAGGGGAGTGATTTTTCCACTTTCATTTTGCACCTATGGGGAAGAAAAAAAAAAAAAGAGGACTTAAAAGCTCTGAAACCATCAATTCCTGAAAACAGTCTAATCACATCAGTTCCTCAGAGGTGTGCTTCCATATGAATATAGTGCTCTATAAATATAGACTAGAAAGAGATAAGGAAAGCAACAATGCCTCCATAATTCGGCTGCAGATGGATTATTCCACCCAGTGAAGAAACAACTGCATGTGAACAGCAACATCTTTAGTAATAAAGAGTTTATGTGTAGCATGCAATATGACACTGTGTCAGGGCTCTGTGAAAAGTTTCATACTGACACGGTACTGTGCAGCACTGGGGAAAGAAATTAGCTCGGGTTCCAGACACTGGATGACATGCCATGTGCCCAGGCTAATCAACTCTGCATCTCAGCAGGGCTAATTAGCTTTGGCACAGCTCTGCTCTGATACAGTTATGCAGCTTCCAGCTCTGGAGCTAGCTCAGTGCCAGAGAGAGACTCTGCTCCGTGCTGCCCTACATAGGGCAGACGTTCCTGGCTCTTCTGCCACATAAATCACCTTCACGCAGGACTGTTAGTTGAAGACTTTTTCAAATAGCAAACTTTGGCTATCATGTACATCTCTGAGCAAAGTATTTGAATCTAAGAAGCATATAAAAAACCCTCAAAATTTGCTTTGCCAGCCTCTACAGTGGAACAATTATCTTTTCTACTCTTCTAACATAATAATTTTAGAAAGTTTTCCGATAGACAGTTAAGATGCAAAATTTTTCTGAAATGTAGAGCTTGGCTTTGTCTTCTCTAAAGGAGACAAAAGCTATGAAACAGACTGACAAACATGCCTTCATACACATCAGGAGAGGTTTTTTGTTTGGCTTTGTTCTTTTCTTAAACTGCAGGGCTAGTGAACAGCATGCAAAAGGAATAGACAAAAATCAAACCAGTAGGAGGAAATCAACTGAAAATTTAAAACACACATGCAAATTCCATAAAGCAGGGACGACACAGTCATTCATTAAACAAATCAGAAAGCACAGCAAAGACTACTAAGCTAGCTCAAAAATTCCAAAGAAAGATTAAGAAAATAGTTACCCGGTTACTCTTTTTCCATTGCATCTATCAGAATTAGAAATTTAGAGGAGATCAGCAAAGGGATATCAGCTTTAATTACACGATAGTTACATTTGCAATTATGTATTTTGGCGATATAACCTCTAGTTATCTATTTTGATACCTTCCTTTTGTTTCTTCCTAGGAAAACTGTAACTGCATCTCAAAACACGCCAACACTGCAAATGAACAGTTCACTATAGAAAGTCTTTTTGAAAATACACTCCCACTGAGCTTGGTTCAGAGTTAACTCTGGTTTCTTTCGCTAGGTTCAGAAAGAGATGACAAAACATGCTTCCTCTGCATTTCCTTGCTTGAAGAGCAAATTTGTTCTGTACAAGTCTGACAAGCTAATGTGACCGTGACTGGCTTCTTTCCCATCTGCTTCAGCCCATTTCTGTTGATCACTTTCCTGGCCCCCAAACAAGTTAGCGACACAATAATTAAAAAGTCCAGCTTGTGACAGTGGTTGGCATGCGGAAAACGAATGGAAAGAGGACTAAGTAGAGTCTGGAAATCTTGTTAAAATAAATTTGCCAAATATTTACTACTACTTCATGCCTAAGTAAAGTAGGCATAAAGCACAATTATATATCTGTACAGCTTTGCACCGGTATGGTTAGAGAAATCCTGCCTTCTCGCTATTCTATTATTATAATATGGAAAACGTATAATCATGAATGAAGCATATAGAAAGAGAATGGTAGGAACTTTCTAACACAGATTCCCTAGAAATACAACATGCATAGGAGTTGTGCTTCACTGTTAAAGTGATTTCTTTTAAAGTTGTAATACTAAGGGGCTGATGTTTCTGCTGCTGTGAACATCAGCTCTGAAAGACCACTGCTTGGCCATCTTATGCTCAAACTTCACTAAAAAGGCGTTCCTTTGCAGTTCCAATTATATGAAGGATTCCAGAACAGGAAGCCCAATTCCACTGCACATATTACATAATTACATTTTGACCATGACTCTCTGAATTTCAAAAGTATTCTGCTTTTAGAGAAAAAAATAAAAATAAAAACCAATGCCCCCTCCCAGAGGAAAATGACAGTATATGTCCTGACTAATAATGGAAATATATAGTGCTTTCAGGAAAGAGTCTGAAAGTTGCACATGACAAAGCTCCAAAATTCCCTGAAAATACATCTAAAGCATGATGATATGTGTCACAGTTTTTACGCCTTTGGTCAGGAATTTACTCTTGGAAGACATGTAATATTCTACCAGAAAAGGCAGACACTGTGAAAGGTACAGTATGCACAAGTCAGGAAGATGATATACTCTTGAATTACTTAAAAAGAAAAACACATCAATGAAGATGAACATTTTAGAGGATGTCATTCCTCAATGTCATAAGACTGCTTCCTGACAAACTTTTTCCTGTGACTATGTCATGACCCCGGTGTGTAGCTCAGAGCAAAGAAAAGGCCAGCTGTTATGGCATCCTACACTGAAGCTTTTGTCTCAGATAAAAAGAAACAAACAAAAAAGAGCTAAGATTGCACTTACCTGCTCAACTTCTCCAAGAGTGACTGGCTGAGTCTGGTAACGAGCATTCATTCTCCTGTGCCTAATATCTCCTCGACTCCTTGTGGAGATGGCCCTGGATACTGGTTGAGACAGTTTGTTAAACAAAGCCATCTTTTCTGCCAAACTTAAGGTGGAAGAATCTGGTTCATCAGACTGATCTTGCCCCATTGCCTCTTTGGCTGCTCTTATCTCCTCTTTAGCTAAAATTTTTTGGTGTGCTGATGCCTGCAAGCTGAAGAAACAGAACTGGAAATGAGTTTTGAAGACGACGTTATGAAGTTTTAAGATCTCAACCTCATAGGAGTAGAAGAACTGCACGTGAAGCACAATAGCCAATGTAATATAGCAGCCTAAGTGATTATGCAGTGGTTCAACATTGGCATGATGAATTCTAATTCAAACAGCTGAAGATTTAAATAAAGTTACATTTTCATTTACAAATTCATTTGATTTGGACACAACAATTTTTTAAAAGGGGAACTCAAGATTGAAGAGAGACTTTTCAGACCAATCTCTTTATACCGAATACAGTGCAATAGAGAGACATTTAAGATGCCTGCTGTAGAACAAACATGGGTCCTACAGTGCAATTTACATAAAATTCAATTTTATTAGAAATAATTTGTGGACCATATATGACAAAAACGTTTAAAAGACGGATTTAAACTTCAAGTTAGTGCTGCTTTTAGGTTAGCATAAATTGTAATGCCTCTTATAATTTGAAGTGGAACAGAATTCAGACTGTCTTTCATTTTGAGTTATCTGGGGTAACTCAACAACAAAGAACAGTTTTGAAACATACTTCATTAATTTTGAAGATTGTTTGACCAATGCTGAAGGCAGACACATTCATTCATAAAAGCTGTAACTGCATTTGTCTCTACAATAATATATTTTATTCACCTCTAGCTAGATTCAGCCACATTTACGGAATTAGTAGTATTCTCTCCCCCCCCCCCCCCCCCCCCTTGTGGTCTCTGCTAAGATTCTCTCATTCAGAACAGGCAAACAGTATTCTGCAACTTTACCTATAGGTGGTGCAATTTCTTATCTTTCCTTTAATTTTGCAAGCTAAAAAAAAATATATGTAGAGACAGACAAAGAGTATATGTACTGCTTGTGAAATCAAGCACTCAGCTTTGATATTTTCATCTCAAGATGACATTACTGTATAAAAAAAAGTACAAGAGCAAAGAGGGCTCTGCTAGGTTTGCTCACATGCAAATTTATTTCTTTCACAAAGAAGAAGAATATGCTTCTAGAACAGGTAAGTGTGGTTAGAAAGGCCCTGAAAACAGATGACAAAAAAAAGCTGCATTGTTTTATCATGCAAACATAAATGAAGTTGACAAATGTTTTAAATATTCTTGAAACGAGTATTGACTTGACACATTGAAAAGGCATTCAAGACTTTAAAGATGCATCTGCTATTGAAGAATCTTGCGCTCCATGTAACATGCATGTTTATCCCCCCCAGTACCTGATAGGTTGTACAGTGCTCTTAACTACAGTGGGACTAGGTACTCTTGTCACTACTGTGTGGGTATTCACAGAACGTGAAGCAGGGGTAGATTCACTTTAAAGAATTGCCAAGGAGGGAAAATTCACAGGGAGAGAGAAGAAAAAAGCATTAAGAAAAGCAATACATTGAGTGTTAACTACAGAAAAGACCAAAACCAAACCAAAACAAAACAGAAAAAAACCAAACAGCAATGATTTTTAATTAACTGAGTTATCTGTTGCGACCTTTGCAAAATAACTTCAAATACTCTGAAAGAACTAAAAACCTAAAGGAGCAAACAGGTTGTCTCTTGAAGTTACTTATTACCCATAACATAAGCTATCTTTTAGTAGATCATTAGGTGAACGTCCATTCACCTTTGTTTAATTTTCCCCAAAAATGACTTTCCTTTTTTCAGGAAAATTTCATGATATATGACCAGAGTGCAAGAAATGCATTTCCAAGAAGTACATTTGAGATTTCAGAGTGTAAAAGGTTTTCCCCAGTACAAATACATTCCATAAGAAATTGCGCAGATTTCCCTCAGCGCGAAGTATCTTTTTCACTTGAGTTATGAACCAATGCTATGATTAATCCCGTTTCCCTAATCTACAGGTTCATACGCTTTCTGCCAAATTACAATTCGTACAAGTTATGCTTTACTAGCCCCTCTACTTCTAAAAAGGAATATCAATATGGTTCCCCCTGTGGTTCTCAAGGAAGTTGGCCCTTAACAACAAATGTTTTCCTTGCTACAAAGTTGTAAACACCACATATAGGGAGCTTATTCCCAGATTTAAGAGCAGGAATCAAAGTTAGAGGCAACATATGTACAAGACTTACGTAGCGGCAATGACCACTTCCTCAGTGGTAATTGGTTGTGTGTGTGATCTATCCTGCAAACGCCGCAGCCTTCTCTCTACTGCTGAACTTCTTGCAGGTGGTTTAGGAATATTTTTCATTTCGAATGATTTTTCCATTTCCTAAGAGGACATATGTCATAATTAAAACCATGGAAGAAAAGTTCTAAAACAGTACTTTCTTTTTAGCTTTCTTGCATGCAAAGTAGTAAATCTCCCAAATGCCTATCTCTGAATTAGAAGCAGGATGTAATTGCGCAGTAGGCGTCATGAAGTTAAAACTAAATACACATCTCTCTACATGATGTTCTTAAAGAAGGTTTAGAGCAATAGGTCTACTGTATAGGTAGGCAAGATGAAGTAAAAAAAAAAGTTATGTAGCTTGGACTTGGTTAACTGCATGACACTTCATTCTAATGCACTTTGGGTTCTTCAGCATCTTGTATATGAAATGTTTAACTCAGCCTTCTATTAAGGAAATGTAATACTTACTCTAAAAAGCAGCCTCTTTGCAGCTACACTTAGTTTGGCTCGGTCATCCAATTTTTCTTCATCTACACAAAGGGGAAAAAGCAAAAAAGGAGGCTGAGTGTAATGAATCAAACTCATATTAAGTGCAAGGGTTTTTTTGACTGATTTCTGAACTCCTCAAAAATTACATTTTACTAAAACAAGAAGCATCACCAGCAAATAAGCTGGCTGTTACTCCCTTTTAACAAAAGACTTATCATGAACCAAATTGTGTAAACTTTACCTGTATTTACATGTATTGCATCAGAGGAAAATTCTTAACAGGATTTGAGAACAAAAGACTTGTCTTCAGGACAGTTCATGTGCTTTCAAGTTATCCAAACAACCTTTTATGAATAATCAAACTTATTATATTAGTCTATATATAGACTAATACATGGACTAAGGAAAAAATTGGACTGAAAGACTGTCTTAAGCATCAGTATTCATCATGCTACACAGAACATCTCTTTTCTACTAGCTGGCCATACAAAATGGTCTCTCCTGGAAGCTGGTTATTCTGATTACCACCTTGTGTCCCCATTTTTCAGAGGCTCAACTGGTATCCTTAGGAGCTGAAATCAGCATCCTCCAGATCCAAGAGCCAGCATCTCAAAGCTGTAGGGAATATTAGCTTTCAAATAGCATAAGGCATTAAATCTAAATTTAGCTGCTCATGAGATTACCTACTTAATTTGTGCCAGGCTTGCCGAGAGTGACAAGAGGGAGAGAAGCAAGATGGCAGACAATTATATCATTTAATCAACAGCATCTTGCAGCTTCCTTAGCTAGAAAACAGGTTACCAGTATGTTTCGCACTACAGTAAGGTTTTTTTAGTTGTTAGTCCTAGACCGTTGATTAAAATGTTTATTTTTTTTTCCCCCATCAACTAGCTTATTTATTGTCTAAATCAGGAAAAAAAAAAAAAAAACAATGTTGAAAAGTGTTGAGCCATTCCCCCCCTTGCCTCCCATATGAAGTCCGGTATCCATAGACAGACTTCTGGACTTAAATGAATTTGAAATCAAGTCTGTAGTAGACACGGCCAAAGTGGTACTTCAAACATATTATGGGTAATGATAGTTATTTTCAAGTGGACTTTGTTTGCATTATCAAATAGTTCTCCAGTTAACACAAAACACATTTTCTCCCATTTCTCCCTTAGAAAATAGTATACTAACATACCTTCAGCAGTTGGTATTTCTGCACTCAAAATTGACCTAGCAAAAAATTATCAAACAGAAAGAAGTTAGTTGGAAACGAGACATCAAAAATTAAATTCAAACTCCATCTGAAGTAGCAGGACCTCAAAAGTCTTAAGAGTGGGAAAACTTAATCTATTTTTCAAGCTTCAACAGTTTCCACTTTGACATCCTTTAATAAAGCAGAAAGGCAAGCAATTGCAGCCAAACTTAAATACAGTAAAGGAAAACGATTTCCAGTTCATCTTGCAGAAGATAAAAGTCTAAGATTTGCTGCCAGCTCTTTTAACATAAAATATGTAGCTTTGGTTGTTTACAAAAAAAGTGAATGATAAAGCAGAGTAGATGGAAAGGAAACTATATAAAAACAGACAAAAGTATTTATCATTAGACAGACTCGAACAGCTATAATACTTTATGATATTTCATTGTTCACCATTTTACATGGGGGGGATTTGCAACGAATTGTTTTTGTTGGCAGTATTTTGGTTTTTATTTTATAAGAAGCTATAACAAATGATTGTTTTTAAAGAGAAACAATAACCTTGCAAAATATTTATGCTAATAAATGAACAAAGTCTCTTCACAAGCTTGTTCATGTCTACCTGCACCAGAACGCTACACAGAGCTACATATGTGCCTACCTATCTGTCTCCTTTCGTTCTGCGGACGTTATAGGTTGAGTTTTAAATCTCTCAGAAGTCTTTCTATTTTCACCAGGAGAAAAATAGCGCCTCGGCCTTCGTGGCCCTCTTTCACGGTCACCATTGGCAGACAAAGTGCTACCTGCCGTTGACATCTCAAACCGAGATTCACTTTTAAACCACATGATAGAAAGCGCATAGAAAAGAAAATAGAAGAGAGAAGTAAAGCACAGATGTAAGCATCTCAACAATTCACTAGAGATCACTCTGCATGCTCCTCCGGTAACATGCACAGACGTACACATTCCAGCTACCCCACATCACAACTTGCACTAGCAAGCAGAAGCACAAAAGCGGGATTCAAACCATCTCAGCCTCCAGTACACACTGGTGAGAGCTAAGCTGTGTGCTTTAAGTGCCGAACACAACTGCTGTTGAGTGTGTGTAATTTTTGCCAAGGACGTGCAAGTTTCACACGAAAATACGTTTGAAATGTCACCTACAGATCCGTTTTCTTGTTGGCATTAGCAGTCTCCAGAAAGACATTACGGAGCTGGGCAACAGAGACTTTTGTGTCAACCATGCCAATCTCACCGTTTGGTGCATTTGCTTCCACGCTCTCCTTACTTTTAAAAGCTTCTAGCTTAGGAGCCACAGTATAATCAGACATTGAGCGAGTCAGGACTTTGTGCTTTGCTGTCGACACCTTCCGAACAGGAGCTTTTGCCTTGGCAGGCTGCGATACTGACCCACTCTGTATGTACATAACAGCTTCACTCCTTTCTATGTTCTCAGGGGTCTTAAACTGCTGCTCAGAAACCTGCCTCTTATTGCACTCCAGCTCTCTCTGAACTTCTGAGTTAACTTTCAGCTTGCTTGCGAAAGAGGAACTCCCCATGGGGGTATCCAATTCTCCTCCTCCAAAGAGGCCTTCGTGGTTCTTCCCTTGCTTGCGAATCTCAGATGGCAAAATTGGTCTTCTGCCTTTGGAAGCCTGTTCACCCTCCAAGGAATCTTTTTCATCAGGCTTTGCTCCATAACCAAGTGCCTCTTTCTTTTCACTCTCTGATGCAGTGGCTGCTGACGGTTTTGTTAAGAGGCTAACATTGTCTGGTAGGAGGAGGCTGCCAACAGAGTTGTTTGCTGGTTCTTCTGTTGCCATCAGCTGAGCTGTGTGAGCAATGCCAGCAGGCTGAATATAGCCATGTATTGGTTGGCGGACTGAACTGACGGGCTGATTTATAACCCTATCAAAGGCAGACGTTTCTGTCTGAAGAGGCATGTAGTGGGCTGGCACTGGATGGGATTTTCTCTGAGATACTGTGTCTGTGACAAGTTCAGGGCTTCCACGAGCACTTTCCTCTTTCACCAGTTTCTCTCTAACTTTTACTCTTTAAGAAAGAAAAAGGATTAAAGCTGTGAACAGCAATACCCAATCAGGGAAGGAACACAGACACCTACTGTGGGTACAGACAGCAACATCGTATTAAAATAAAAAGCAATCAATACATAAAAGAAAGTAATCTTATGATGCAACCACTTCCTTCCCCCCCCCCCCCCCACACTTCTACATAACAATCATCCAAAACACACAAACGCTTA